GAAGTTTGAGGTGATAAATGGGGGATCTGGTTTCAAAGGCATTTACAGACCAGAGAAAGAAGAAGAGGCTTTTATAAACAAAGTCAAATACATGTGTACATGTACATTTATACTTATATATGATATTTGCACAAACACGCACATTCACACACTGAGAGAAAGAGCAAGAAGACAGACCGAGAGGCAGAGAAATGGAATCGAGTTTGAGTCAGGAGAAAGTATGAACAGAGGTGCTGAATTGCTAAGAGATTAGAAACAGGGAATTTCATCAGTCACCTACATTAGACACATGTTTAAGCTACCAGTAATTACAATCATTGTAGAGTTAGTACCTTTTTATTGGCAGAGGGGTAGCCAAGGATTGAACTCAGGGGCACTCAACCACTGAGCCACTCCCCATTCCTATTTTGTATTTTACTTATAGACAAGGTCTCACTGTTGCTTAGCACCTTGCTTTTGTTGAAGCTGGTTGTGAACTTGTAATCCTCCGGCCTCAGCTCCCAATAGTTAGTGCCTTTGGTATACCACAAAATAAATCGAAGTGTTTTCTAAGCACTATTCTGACAAACTCGCAAGTAGATTTCTGTACCTGTATTTTACAGATGAGGAAACTGAGCCTCAAAAGGGTTAACTAACTTGCCCAAGATATCTATGAACAAGGGATAGGGCCTGGACTGGAACTCAGATTTCTCAAGCAATTAAGCCAAAATTTTACTTCATACAGGAGGGGAGAAAAGTCTTAAATGCCTAGGATAAGAAATGATAATGCCCTGAATTACAAACAGGTGCATTCACTAAGCCAAACACCATTGACTAATCATCTCATGTCTCAAGGTCAGGCCTGGACACGCGGCAAGAGCCTGGGTGATGCTCCAGCTCTCAGGGCTCAGAAGACAGCAGTGCAGGAGTTGGACAAGGAAACACAGGCAGGCAGAGGGACAGCCAGTGTTTCCTGGGTGGCCAGCCTGGGAAGGTTCCTAGGGACGGCCAAGTCCACGTCTGGCCACATCTTGGGTAACCATGGAAATGAAGCTAAGGGAGATGACCTTCTAGCCAGAAGGCCAGAGGGTTCAGGGCAAGGATGAAGCACAATCCGGTCCAGGAACCACCGGTGATTCAGGATGACTCTGACAGATGCTCTGATATATTGCTGAAGGCTTTCTGGCATTTCTGTTGCAGGCAGGGAAAAAGCTCTGTCATGTCCCAAGGAGGCACCTGCTACTTGCTCAAGATGATTAAGGAAAATTCATCACACAATTCCATACCATCTTTGCCCCTGCAGGAAGTTCTACAGTGTGCAGACTGGAATATTCAAGAAAGGCTTTGAATCTGTGGGAAGGAGGATGAGGCCACTGCTCTGAGCAAGCACCCTGGTTTCCACAGGTGAAAGCAAGGCCCACTTGTCTCATTACCTGCAGCCCCTTTAATACTGCAACCTGGACCCTCAAAGTCTCCTGGGTGATTCAGACACACAAACAGCTCAGTTTCTGGTGATCCCTAAACCTGTTTTCAAATCCAAAGGGAAGAACCTCTGGCAAATAAGGCATGGGTGTGGCAACCCTTTATATTCTGACCCCAGAGCCACACTCTCTTGCTGAAGGTCTTGGCAAGTCACATGACCTCTCTCAGACTCACTTTCTTATGTGTAAAACGGGCTAAGACAGGCTGTGCATGTGCTGTCGGAGGAGTTCAGGACAGCCCATGAATGGGATTAGCAAAGCACCTGTTTACATGCTAAAAAGGGGCTCCAAACGCTACAATTACAACTGCACTATTATTATTAGAATTCTGCTCTGTACTCTCCCCTCCCTATTACCAGAGGCTACTTTGGCAAGCTCTCTCTCCCCAGCCCCATGTCTCTTGCCTATGTTCCTAACACTCAGTTAGTATTACACTTTGGACAAATTCTGTCTATTGCCATTTGCTTAAAATTTCCATATAAAAATCTTATCTTGATAGTGGGTCAAAAACTCCTCCAAAACAAGTAGGGGTGGAATAATGATGGTCTTCAGCTATCTGCTCAGAAACTTCCAGAGCCCTGGTCCAGGCTCTGGGCACACAGGTGAGCACCCCAATCACTGAAAATCTATACTCAGGATTGTCCCATGTGACTTCTATGCTTGGATGCTGGGCACTGAAAGGGGACTGTGTAACTAGTGGTCTTTGAGATGATGAGACCCACACATTTTGCCAGATTTACCACAAGCCTTCAGATGCATATCTAGATTGTACTGTCTTCTTTCCCTTGGGCAAGACATGTCTTTCTCTTTCCCAGAGACTCCCTGGGTCCAAAATACCTCCCCAGCTTTTTTCATAGAACACATGGTAAGTAATCTGGTCTCTTCATGGAATCCAATAAGAGTTTTTTCTTTTTTGATAGACGAGATAGAGAAGGGTGGAGGGAAAGGGTTGTAACTGCCCAGACACTATATGATTTCTGAAATTGCCCTGAAAGTGCAGAGATCCTGTGAAAACCTCACACTGTTCCTGGGGATTAGCTATTTGGTCTCCTATAACAAGAAACAAGGAAGGCATATTGCGCCCCATAGACACAGGCATCCCACACCAGCCCGAAGCTGAGAGCGCACACTTCCAGTCATTGTCCAGAGGGCACATCAACTCTGCAAGACAGCTCCTGTCACCCTCCCGATTTTCTCCCACAATAGATACAAAAGTGTATGGAAGAAGAAAGAGAATTTTTTGTTCAATCTTCTTCACATGCCTCCTGATTCTTCTCTCTCTTTTTTTTTTTTTTTTTGTGATGGAAATAACAACATGAAGCTTAAAAATGGCAAAAAAATCAGAGGCAGGGCGCATCATACCGAAAGCATATAGTTTTATTAAATTCAAACGTTCTTCAGAGATTATGTGATTTGAAAACATAAACTGCAAGTGCATTGTAATGAAGAAAGTCGGTCCTGTAAATACACACTAAAGTGTCAGAATAAATGTCTCTGCTGTGATCAAATATTACACATTTGTCTCAAAAAAAGGCAGCAAATGGTGCTCTTTGCCGCCCCCTAGTGGTTGTAAGGGGAAAGAAGCGGAAACAAGGGGGATTCACTTCAGAGAATCTATAAACTTTTTATACTCGGAAGACAAATGACTGGTTTTAACCGTGAAATGGATATGTTCTAAGTGGGGGAGATGAAGGATGTTGGTTAAAATGCACATAATTATTCACATAAAGTGAATCATTGATAGCCTTATTTTTCTCTTCCTCGCTCTCTCATCTTTCCACCCTGACATGAGAACTCAGCAATGTGTTATGCACACCAGGTTTTCTTCCCAAATGACTTCTTCCCTGATTTTCACTTGCTGTGAACCTCCTCCCCTGTTTGTAGACATCTGCTTATAAATATGTCACTTGCTCTGCTACAAAGAAATAGAAAAATCTTCCCCTCAGAATGTAATTTGCCTGCTTAACAAAGTATCTATACTAAGGAACCAAGGCAAAGGGTTGGGAAGTTCTTTCTTTTATTATTCTTGTTTTCACGGAAACAGTCTCTTAGCTTGATTCCTTCATCTCAGTGTCACCTTTACCTATGTTTAAGACGTTTCATTTTTCTGGAATGAGTTTGTCTTTGCAGAAGAAAAACTGTCAAAGATACACAGGGAAGGGGGGGGCAGTTAGAAAGAAATAGGAAGCCTGCTAATAAGCTTTTTTTTTTTTGAAATCATGTCATAAAAAATTTAAAGATTACAAATAAACAGAAACTCTCCTATTTTCAAATTCATTACTCTCAAGTTATGGGAGAAGCAGTTCCCAAAGCTCAGACAAGACGCACCATCTGCCTCTGGATCTCTCCATCCGCCAAGAGTAATTCCACCTGATACGCATTCCCTTCTCTGAGCCACTGGTACACTATAGTTCAAAGCCAGCCTCTAGATCAGGTTGTCTCTTAATAGAGAGCCTCTTTTCCAGCTGGTGCAAAGCCCTCCGCCCTAAGGTGACCGCCAGGCAAGATTCCAAGGGTCATGTACCCTCTTCTTTGTCAACGGGCAAATTTGGCCACAGCCCGCAAGCCAAACGCACGCCCTCGTCGACAGCGCAGAGAATCAACAAGTTATCATTAAGCTGAGCGCTCTAGCCTGGATCTGCCACAGCCTCCCCTGCGCCCACCTGCACCCACCCTCACGCGGCCCTGCTTTTCTGATGTCTCCACACTGCCTGCGAGCACGTGACCTTCTGTTTCAGACCCGCCCTCCCGGAGCCCCTACCCGATGCTCCGAAGCAGCAAAGTACAGGGCTCGCCAGCTCCCAGGTTCGCCTGACGTCTCCAGGCGTTCACCGGGCTCCAGCTTCCTTCCGGGCTGGAGAGGTGGGGAGGTCAACATCTTCAGAACAACTGGATGAGCGAGGGAGGGGTACCAGATTCGGCGCCTTGGACCTCGGGAGCCCAAGCAGAGTCGGAGAAACTGGGGAGCATCACAACGCGCACTTCTTCAGGACTCTGCCGCCCACCCGGAGGGCGCGCATTCCCACGGGAGCCAGGGCCGCCCTGGGGGACCACGCGGAGTGCCACGGGGCCTTCCCTGGAGCCTCCAAGTTTCCACTCCATCCTCGACCTGGGAGACCAGTCACAGCTCAGCTTCCTTTAAAGACACCGCCGCCGGTCCTTCCCCCGGGGCAGGAGCAGACACCTGCTTCTCCCCGCGGCAGCGCCAGCGCCCTGCTGAAGCCATCCCTGGGCCGGAGCCCGCGACGCTCCCACCCTGGCGCAGACCGCCCCCAAAGTTGTCTGGACTCCCCAGACCTCGCCTGCTCCTTGGCTTCAGGACCCCACCCAGGGATGGGGTCGGCGCGCCCGCGGGCGGGCGGAACCTCCCTGGTCCGCTGCATAGGGCGCTGACTTCGGGAATTGCGGGAGCACAGAAGCCGGAGAAGCTGCGGTAAAGGACCGTGGGCAAATCCAGCGTGAGCCGAGTCCCCGCCGTTTGCACCCTCGAGCCTGCCCAGCCTCCCTGCTAGGAGAGGAGAAAACTTCCCCAGCACCCACCTTTAGCCGCGAGGAGGCGGCGCCGCCGGCTGCCCCCGCTGCTGCCGTTGCCGCTGCCGCTCCCCACGCCCAGCGCCAGCAGGAGCGGCACCCAGCACAGCCTCCCAGGCAGCATCCTCGCCGCCGATGCCGCCAACAAGCTGCCGCCGCCGCCTACTGCCCGCGCCGGCTCTGGCCTCCCGGTGTCCGCCGCGTCGCAGGCCGCCTCGCGGTGCCCGCTGGGTGCGCTTCAGGCGCCGCCGCCGCCGCCGCCGCCGCCGCGCTCGGCCTCCGGTGCCCTCCGCCGCGCCGCTCGCTCGCCAGCAGCAGCCGCGCTCACTGGCGCGGACCCGGAGCGGCTCTGGCGCTCACCCCGGGACGGCCCGTGACGTCACGGAGGGAGGGAGGTGGCTCGTGCATATTCATGAGACGCGGACACAGGCCCTGGGTTCCGCGCTCCCAGCCTGGCGGCTTTGGCCCCCAACTTTCCTCCCGCGGACCCCACACTGGGCACTCGCGTTCTCCTGCCTCCGTCAGGAGCCAGCACCCAAAAGACTCTGGTGGGCGACTCCCCGGAGCCCTCTGGCTCGGCGTCCCCAGTCAGGTTCTCCAAACAGCTGCTGCCAGGAATGATGGGCTCCCCTAGAAAGTGATTGCCTGGCGCCTGGGGGTCGCCTGCAGGTCGCCTGCAGGGGCCCAGGGGCCCTGCCCTGCCATCCCTTTTGAATTGACGTCTGGGCGGAGTGGCCCGGCGGGCGTCGCTGCGGGTCCTGCCCTTGGCTGGGTCTCTGGACGCTCTACGCTGCCTGGTCTGGGGAGGGCGCCAGCCGCACACCAGAACCGAAAAACTTAACTGCTGCTTGGACTTGCAGGGTCCATTGCGTTGGACCTGGGTGGCTGCAGTCGGGCTCTGTACCATCTCGGAGAAGCAGGAGCAGCAGTGGTTCTCAGAAGCTGATGAACTCGCTGAATCAGAAAAGACAAACTTGGGTCTGCAGTGCGGATCACACTTAAACTTCTCTGCAAGAAGTTACCACTTTATGTTGTCACTTTGGATCTCTAAGCAGACCACCTGACCTCATGCCTTATAAAACACAGGCTAGGTAGAACTGTCAGATCCCTGAGCACAGAGACCATACACACCTAGACATCCTCAACCACACGTAGGACTCTAAAGGATCCCAAAGGTACTTAATAAACAACAATCAATGGCTCAGAAGAAACCCCAACCCTATTTCCATACATGCCACCATTCAAGGTCCATAAGAAGTACTTTGGAAATAAAGTAGGTAGGGAAACATAGAAGCAAACAAAATCATTTATTTATTCATTGATTCAAGACATTTCCTGAACACCCAGACAGGTTGTGTCACTCTTCCAGGGAACACTGGACTGGACACTGTTGGGCCTCAAAGCCTTTCTCCCTGAAGAGGGAGAAAGAAAAGTTAGTAAAGTGATTACAGTCCCTTTGTACGAGTTATAGTCCTTCATATTCTTTTAGTTTCTTGGTATGAGCCTATACAAATCAATTAACACAATGTACATATTTCAACAGTGACTAAACCACATCTTATAATTAATAAGTAAAGTTTGGGGTACTCAAAAAGCCATAAAATCTATTAACAGCCCTGTGTTACTCAGCCCTCCTGCACCCCTCTGGCAGAGCACTGATAGTCAAATCTCTTATCATTTCCATCACCCAAGAGATGCTTGAGGACAGCCTTGACTCCTCACAGTGCATGGGGCTCTGACCAGGCTGCGCTTTTCACTGCAGGTCCTCTTTAAGGCACAAATCAGCACCTGTTAGGAACAACAAATTAGGAAGCGTCTCAGGCCAACACCACACACCAAGACCTGGCATTTCTTAGATTTGAGTATCAAATTCCAGGAAGAGTGTCATAGAAAGGTGCAAGCTGACCCAGGCAAAATCAGGGAAGCCAATATGCAGAGGATAAATATAAATGTTAACTCACCTCCTTCCATTTAAACTACATTCAGCTACATATCTGTTCTCTCTTGATTTTCTCTAAGTAGTAAGACCTACCTTACCTATTTACCTTCGCTGTCCCATGATGTCATTATACTTGGTATTGTTAAGATCACTTGGTTGATCCCAAGTATTTTACATGAAATTTCAAGTTCATGCATGAGAAAGATTGGGGAGACAGAACTGATTAGAAAACATCTCCAAGCAGGAGGTCACTGGGAAAGAAGACAGCAAAAAGAAACAGGCCCCTGACCAACAGCATGACTTTGCAAGCCTCCATCTCCTTGCCTACAATCATAAGGAAGAACAATGCTTATTATAACAGTGAAAGTGCCCTACTGGCCCCATTTGTTCATGCATCTATTTCCAGTAGAAGTGCCCTCCTGCTCAGAGCTTGGCAAAATATGATTCACTTTGGCCCAGGGGACAGTAGCATGTATGTTTTCCTCTCTTTCCTGGACTCCTGCTATTGCTATGAGAAGAAACAAAACAAAACAACCCTGTAGGAGGGTAAGAAACCACTTGGAGTCGAACTGTCCTGGCCAGTCATGGCCACTCTAACCTGGTTAGTGCCCTATGACCCAGCAACCCATCAAAGACACATAAGCAAACCCAAGCAAGATCAGCCAACTCTGGTCCATATCAGAACTGCCCGGTTGACTCATGAGAAATAATGAATGAGTATTTCATTTAGCCCCTGTGTTTTGGAGCAATTGACTAAGTCGTATGATGTTTATGGGTAAGGTCATTGTATAAGAAGAAAAGGAGAAAATGTATATGAAACAGTCAGTTGCGCATAATGTTTGATAAATGTAAAAATGTCCTCCTCTTACTTCACAAGTTTCTGAAATGCCAGTCACAACCTTGATTTGGTTCACTTGAGGAATGACACAAGAGCTTCAGGTCCACATCATTTATATGGAGCACTGTTGTGCTGTCTGCTTTTTTGCACTATTGCATATGTGAAAATTGGTGGGGGTTTTGCTTGCTTGTTTTGATTTTGTGTGTGTGTTTTACTGCTGTTGTTTTGGCAGTACTGGAGACTGAACCCAGTGCTTCATGCATTGGAGGCCAACCATCTACCACTAAGCTACACCCCCAACCCAGATGCAAAAAATTAGACCAAGTAACCCAGAAGTTAAAGGATCCCCATTTACTTAGTGCCAGACTTGGCAACAAGGATCATATATTCCATATCTCCTTTAATTCTTGCAACACCAGGTGCTATTTTTTCCAATTTTATTATAATCAGACCACTGGCCCGAGAAGTTTGAGGAACTTATCCACATTCACATAATTGTGCAAAACATCAATTCACATCAGCCAAACTCCGTCTTTCTCCCATATATGATGGTTTGGGGAGTGGCATAAAGGATAAGCAACAGATAAACAACAAAAAGTATTTTCAAATCAGAAAAGGTAGCTTAAGGTATTTGATTTTTAAAAAACTTTTTAGCCTTCATAGCCTCTGAGCAATGACCCTTTAAATGTACAATTATCACCAACACAGTGATAGAATTCTCTAAATTCTTGGAGTCTGCACTGCTTATGTTTATTCTTGACTTGTTCTTGGGGCACATTTCTTTAAAGGTCTTGCTCAAGAAACTAGAGATCAGAATGATGTTAGGACCGGTCACTATAAGCTCCAAGTCCAAGGTCCCACCTGCAAGGTAATAATGACTCCCAGGAAATTAATCTAGGTCAATACTTTTTAATAAGTAAATAACTCCTTCTTTCTAGACAATAGAATCTAATGAACAGGCCTCACGCAAACACAACCATTCTCTTTCATTTTCACATGGGTCATTAATACCTGATTGAGCAACAAAACACAGCCCCTAAGTAATTTAAGCTGGATAAATGAAGAAAATAAATAAATTACACCTACTTATGAAAACTTATTTTTAAAAAGAAAATCAAACTGAGACTTTCTACATGTGACCCAAATTTAATTCAACTGAGAGCACTTAACTTTAAAAAGGAAGGTTGAAAAGCTGATCTTTAAACAAATGGATCCATTTGTTCTTCCCCTTCACCATCTCTGCTGCTATCACTGGGTCATCATGACCCCCAGGTGACTGGGTAGGTTACAGAATTTTCAACATTGCTCTCAGAAGTTTGGTGCTAGGACAGAAATGTGGCTGCTGCTGCAGGAACTTGCTGTCACTTTTGTAGGTTGAGGCCTTCTGTTAAGGAAGGAGCAAGGAAAGCTTGCTCGCAATCAAATCCAGTTCATGTTCAGCATTATTTGGGCCTGAGTATTTTAAGCTCAGCAAGAAAGAAAAATAACAAACATGTCATTAATTGCAGCAATACATTTTTTCTTAAACACTTCCATGTATTTTTCTTGTACCTTTACACCCTGGTGGTTATTATAATAAAATTCAGTGACAATTCTCCCATTACAAGATGGAATCTCTCCTCTCCTTGAATCTGAGCAGCCTTGAATCTGAATGTTGCTTCTACCAGTAGACTTCAGTCAGCAAGGCTACATGTCTTCTCAGATAGATCATTATGGCAATGTAGCTTCTGCCCTGTTTACTAGGATGCTCACATTTGAAAGTTGGATATTCTATGGAAAAGTGCAGCTATGTAAGGCTGCTATGTTGGAAAGATCATAAGCTACCTGGAAAAACTAACTGTAGGTATGATTGACAGCCCCAGCTAAATCCAACATTTGAGTCATCCCAGAATCTCCAGATAATCCCATTTTGCTGGCTGAGGAGTCACCTCCCTCCCAGCTGTTTGGATCTTCCCAGATGAAGCCTTGGACATTCTGGAACAAAGTCAAGCCATTTCCAAATTTGTGACCCACAGAATCCATGAGTGTAATCAAGTGGTTGTTTACACCATTAAGGTTTGGGGATGGTTTACAATTGCATCAAGATTAACTAGAACATCTTTCTTCTCATTTGTTTCCTGCAACACAGACTTGGGAAGAGAAGGTAGTATTTGATAAGTCATGTGTAATTAGTACCATCTGTACCTCAAATGTTGAGACTTGTCGTGGCCAAGAAATGGAGGCAGTAGGGCCGAGTGGAAAAAGATCACTTCTAGAATCAGGCTAAGGATGCAAACCCAGCTCTTATATTTTCCAATTATGTATGTCTTGAAAAAGTTTCTTACTTGGTTTGAATCTGTTCCTTCTCTACAATCTGGGAGCAAGGAAGCAAAGTTGCTTTTAGAGTTAAATGAAATGGAAAGAGCCACATCCTTCCCTG